TGCGGGGCTGCGGGGCCGCGTTCCCGGCGCCGCTGTGGCCTCCGGCGGGGAGGGAGGCCCGGGCCGGCTCTACCCGTGAAGCGCGGAGGAGGGAGACAGAAAAGCCTCATCTCCTCAGCCAGCATCTTTGTTCTTCGGGCCCTGCTGTGGGGAAGAGGAGCGGCGGAGACCGGGGCGGCGAGTGATCGGTGGCCCCCGTGTCTCTTCGGGGCGTTTCGACCCTTCCTGTGCTGCCCTGGCGTTGCCTTCGTTCTCCGGGGGTTTCTTTTCACCCCTCTCGGCTGGATATCTTGGTGCCGGAGCATCGTTGGTGGGACCGGCCGGGCTGAGGGCGGGTGGAGGACTAAGGCGGAGGAAACAACAGGTCTCTCTTCTCGCCTTCCAAAGCGGTACCAGCGCCTTGCTCTTGGGATTATAAATGTGCGAACTAAGACCCAGGAAACTGGAAGGAGAGCCTCCCGTTGGAATTAACAGAAGAGAAAAGAAGGGAGGCTTTTCCAAGCCCTTCACGAGAAACCTCGTGCTGTTTTCCCATGCTGTCTGTACTCTCTTTAATAATGCGATTGTGACCTGAGTGGAATTTATGAGCGATGAACTATTGAAGCTTGTTGCACCACTGCATCAGGCTACATTGTTGGTTTTTTTTCTTTCAGCACATGATTCCCCCGTCCCAGCTGTTGCAGGACCTATGGGCCAGTTTTAGAGGGATGGGAAGCTGAGAGAGTTTAGTTTTGCATTCTTCTCTTCTGGGGACTTGGCTAGTTAGCTGAAGCTGCTGCTTTTTACTGGATCTGCTCTTTACTCGGCAGGTTTATTTGTTTTCATGTGCACGGGGTGTTTCAAGTAAATAGACATTGGACTAGAGCTGAATGGATGCTTTGCAGTCCGAAAGGTTATTTGGGATAACAAAAACCTACTAAAAACAGAAGAACTGGTACGGCAGGAAACCTGGGGCCTGTTTTCCGAGCCTTTTTGTTTTATTGAGCAAGGTAAATAACGTAGTGGTGTTGAAACTAATGGGCTTATGGTAATCATGCATGAAAATGTTACAAAGCACTCCAAGCTGTTCAAGTCTTTCAAGGGGCCGGGAGGTCCCACTGTACGGATCAGAATAAGGTCTGATAGTTCTTCAAGATGTGTGTGAATATGAGTGTGAAATTGAAAGCTGAGAACAAACTTGGTGGTACCTGCGAGGCAGAGAGAACTATTTTTTTTTCTGTTTGGCCTTAGAATCTTGTAAGTTTCTGATGTTGAGAAAGGCAGTCTGAGGAACTTGAGGAGTCTGAATGGTTCAGTGAGAGTGTGCAGTAATTGTATCAGTGAGTTTTTTCCATGCTTTTTAGAATCTTGATACCTTAGCCTCTTTTAAGGATCTGTTAGGGTTTCTTAAGTCCTTCCTGTTTAACAGTAGTACAGTATTTACATTTGCATTGCTAATTGTATTTGTACTCTGCCCTGAATTATTTTTGCTCACTTCTGTTATCCACAGTTGACAGCTGCTGCCACTTCATAATAATTTTTTGCTTTTTATCTTCCTTTACGTGTGTATGGCCTGAATTAGACTGTTTGGATTTATCACTAATTTACATGCATCACTTTTACCATAGACTTGCTACAGCCAGAATAAGCTCAAAGTGGTGTTTTAGATACTATCTCTCTATGTTTCAAGCATTGGGAGAAGCAGATAACAATTCTCAAAATATGCTGTGTAATCAGTTACTAGTTTAAGTGTATAATTTTTGGTGGCAGGCTGCATGCTTAGCTCTGTGTTTTTTTTAAGATCTCAGCAGCAGTTTACTCTGAAGAAAAATATAAATCCATTTAAATGAGATCAGAGTTTGAAACGCAGCTGTAAAAATCTGGTTTTGCAAGAAGTCACAAGATGCTCATTATGAAGTGATGCCTTGATTAAATTGGTGGGATACCTTTTCTGCTGCAGTCTTAATGAAATAGTGGCAACCACTAAGGTGTTGGCAACCTTTGCTGATGCTATCTTTGGGAAAGCTATGTTGGTATTATGGGTAGTATCCAAAGTTGCTTTTCTTCTCCTGTTTAGATTTGTTTGACTTAAATTTATGGCCTGTTTTGTCTTATTTTGTTTCAAGATGATGTGTGAGGTGATGCCAACCATCAGTGAGGCAGAGATTCCCTCTGGGGGAAATGGAGGCCATGGTTCAGGTTCCCCGTTACAGTCAGATGCTGATTCCCATTTTGAGCAATTAATGGTGTCCATGTTGGAAGAAAGGGATCGCCTTCTGGAAACACTCAGAGAAACTCAGGAGACCCTAGCACTGACCCAAGGCAAGCTGCAAGAAGTTGGTCATGAGAGAGATTCTTTGCAGAGACAGCTCAATACTGCACTTCCACAGGTATGGACATTTTGAAAGGAAGGTATCTGTCAATAACATTTGTATTTCTCTCTGTTGTTGGCTTTTTGTATATTTAATTTACTAAAGACTGAGTTTATGTTAGGGCAAGATCAATACAGCTTAGCACTTTCCTGAAGTATTTGTTGGTGGTTGCTCACTTAGAGAGAGAGAGATAAAAGTAAGGCAAGCAGGGAACATCAGCCCTTCCAGTATGCTTCCCAGTTTCTGACATTTATTTGGCTTAGGCTGAGTGTGAAGTCCTGTCTGCATCCTCATGTTTCATAGAACTCAATGAACTTTCTTCTGTCACTGGTATTTTTCTAATTGTTATTTCAAGTGGCCTGGTTAATTCATGTGCCATTCTGGGGAAGAAAGCAGGCCACTCTTGACACCCTTATGGACTTCGATTTAAAAACTTGTAAAGTTTAAGACTGATAGCTCGTGAATACATGCTGAGCTGTCAAAGCAGTGTAGAAACCCAAGTGTGTTGTTTAACAAATGTAGTTACTGTTGGGGAGTGTGGTTTTGGTGCCTGTAGTTCTAAATTTGTTCCAGGGGGCAGTGGTGTGGGATTAGGGAAGGTGATGGTGTCTACAGGGCTTCCTGGTTTTTACCCATTCTAGCTAAAAAGCACAGAACTGAACTTTGAACACTTTGGAAAGCATTTGGTTGTAGGCAAAGCAGAGGCCACTTCCAGGTGTCAGTTAACTAGTTGATGGCCTTACACTTTCTGGCATGACTTCTTGTTGCCCCAAGAATGTCATCATGACGTTGTACTTGCTTACATTATTCCAGGAATGCTTATTACTTTTACAAATGTTTACGTAGCCTTAAATATTGCAGTTACTGTTTATACACTTTAAAACAGTATTTTTAAACCCTTCTGTTCCTACTGCCCTCATTATAATGTAATCACTGTATGACTCTTGGTGTGGTAATTGGTACTGGCAGTTCCTCAGAGGTAGAAACGAAAAACTAATGCATATTAATCTAGTTCTGTTACAGTGGCATGATGGAAATCAGAAAAGAGAAGTTTCCAACCTTTGCTGTTCCCTGTGCTAAATCATGTGCTGCAGGCAAAAATAATTATTTGTTTTTCCTTTGTTTTTTGTTGTTGCAGTAATTGTGGCTTCTCTTTAGCCACTCTTTCAGGTCTGCTACCGTTAATGGATGCCATTAACCAATTGTACGATCTGTAAACTGTTAAGCTTGAATTTGTGGCCGAGTAGAGTCACCTAAGCTCTAAATTGCACTGTTCCTCTTTTCCCTTTTCAGTTCTCAGCTTTCCTTCCTAAATCTAGTAAGCTACTTACATGTAAGCATTTATTTCTAAGCATTTCTAAAATATTAATGCAGTTAAAAAAAAACAACGGCACCACTCCCATTGTCATAATTGTATGGTTTCCTTTGAAATCTGCAGGAGAAGTCTCCTAGTTCAGTTGAAAGTTATTTTACTGCAATTTTATATCAATATACAGCAGTGTATGGATTTTTGTAGGTTGCTGTTCAAAAATACTCTTATCCTAGTGTGAAATTGCGACTTTTGTCCCCAGTGGTGTTTAAGCTCAAGTGGTTGTGGAAGGTGATAATTGATGGTGTTTTTAAAAGTAAAAAATTGTATTTTTCTTACTACAATCAGAAATAACTTCTGTATTTGACAAGTT